TCTTTTCATAATTAACATCAAGGAAACAGAATGAAATCAAATATGATCAAATCAAATTAACCTCCAAATCTTCTCAAGATTTTCTGCATGAAAAATAGAACAACAGATTTCACAATTACTCCACGAATTATACAGCATAAACTATTTTGTATAAGAAGGATTTTCGCGCTAATTTGTACCACCAAAATCTCTTATCACAACAGCACAAGAGGTTGCACAAAAATGCAACAGTCAAATCATAACATTCTCACTGAATGTTCTGTTCACAAATGTCATGACATCATGCTTGACATCATGAACTAAAACCCTGCAACATTAAGAATAACCACCTGCAGAATGTTAAGATCATATGTCAAGACATCCTATAGGACATCTTGTGATAACACAAAGTTTTACCAAAATTCCTGCCAATCATAGAACTAACACCTTCCCCTTGCATAACCGACTTCCTTACCCTTTTTCTCTTCCTTTTGAGTTTTATTGATATTTCTTCTTTTTCTTAAAATAAATAAAATCCAGTGGCAACTCTATTGTATTTTCGAGCCTGCGGTACGCTCGGATATTTTTCACGCCACGATAGCTGGCGACTATGCTGGGGAGTTCTTTTTTCTTGGTAATTTTTGCGATGCAATAGTCGTGGGAATACAATTGTCGGTTTTTGCCTGCTATCTCCCACTACCCTCGTAAGTATCAACAACGTTATTAGTTATTTATTTCTATGGACAACACGTGAACCATTATGAGTAATTTTTATTTGTCATCTTCCTAAGTTATAATTTCATGCATTTAATGCTCACACTATTCACCGCACATTTTTTTTATATAAAAATAACATCACCAACTCATTCACGCTACATCAATATCCTTCTTCACCTTGAATTCATTTAAACCTCCTCTTTATTTTAAAACATAAAAACCTATCTTATCTCTCTAATAATCTTATTCATATGGAATCTCAATGAATCTCATCAAAAGTTGCCAGGAAACCAACCTCAATTTCTAAAGCTGAAGAATTCACCATTTTTATTGAGATTGTGGTTGAATTCATAAGCTTATCCATCAATGGGTTGAATTATAACCTTTGTTAGAAGAAGTAAATTAATTGAGTTTCTTTGAAACTAAGAAAGAACCTATCTACATTAAGGAGTTTTGGCTTCATGCCTCTAGAACAAAAATGTATCAAGATGTTTGTTCAAGGAAGAATATTTAGGGTAAGTTCTGTAGATCTAATTGAGTTTATAAGAACCAAATACAATGGAAAAGTTATCATCAAGGGATATGAACAAACCTTCAACATTCGAGAAGCAATACATGATTTATTCAATGTGACCAAAGTGTGCACAAAGCCGAAACTTTGAGAGATCTTTACAAAATGGTGTTTCAAACCCTTCTCAAAAGTATCACGCAGGTAGCATCTTCTGGTAAGTTCATGAATGGGAATCATCGTAGTATCCTCTGGTGCATGCTTGGAAAAGTTTGAGGTCAATCTTAATGAACCTCATCTTCAAAGTTATGTAAACTTGCATTTATCAAAACCAAACATTGTCTAAAAGGAGATATCACATACGGAAGTTTAATCTCAAGCGTATTTGAAAAAAATGGACTTATCAATGATCAACAAGCTTAGAATCACACATGACTCCAAAATACACATTACAGAGAATCCTTCAACACTAAAAATATGTTAAGATTGAGTTTGATTCAAGATATGTGAAGCTTATTAGAAGCAATGATTGACAATATACCTATAGAAATTTTTATTGGGGAGTCCAGGAGATTCGGGAGCACCAATGAGACTAAGGCTCCAGGACCACAAGAGAGGGAGATGCCACATCTCATCCCATAACCTTAAAGTGATAGGTAATTGGGTCCTCTCTTTCTTATAAATCCAACATTCCACTCATTTATAAACAATGTGAGATTTTAACCACTTACACTTGCACCCAACATTCTCCTTCAGAAGTGTGAGTCCCCCACATCCTATAACAGGATCCAACACTGGATCCAACTCCCCCACAAAGCCAAACCACAACTCTAATATCACTTTTGGAGATTCCAGGAGTGTCGGAAGCACCAATGAGACTAATGCTCTAAGACCACAAGAGAGAGAGAGAGAGAGAGAGAGAGAGAGAGAGAGAGAGAGAGAGAGAGAGAGAGAGAGAGAGAGACGCCACATGTCAACCCAAAACCTTAAGGTGATAGGTGAATGGGTCATCGATCTCTCTTATAAATCCAACATTTCACTCATTCATAGATAATGTGGGACTTTAACCACTCACACTTACACCTAACAATTTTTTAAGAAGCTATTTCTATTAAAACTCATATTATCATGGATTCATCTCCTAAAACCAAAAGAAGTTATTTTAATTAAGACAATGTGAAAATTCTTGAAGTGATTTACCTTCAAATGAAGTATACTGTTCTTTAGGTGGAGTATGATAGTTTTTTAAAACTATGATTGTTGGTGAAGACTATGTGAAAATTATTGGAGTAGATTAGCTTCAAGTGACTATACTCTTTATGGTGGAGTATGATTGCCAATGAAGATAATGAAAGCTTATGTATTATTTTCAATCAAAGTGGAGATTGTTGGGGTTGGTTGAAAATATACATGTTGAAGAAGTCCCACATCACTTAATTTTGTGAATGAAGAGAGAGTCCAATACTATATATATGATACAAGTTCTTTGAAGTTCCACATCATTTAGTTTTGTGAAAGAAGAGGGAGTCCAAGGCTATATATATGATTCAAGTTCTTCATTCTAAGATGCACCTGTTAAAAGCACTTTAAACTTATATTTGACTTTTTATATTTTCTCTTATACTCTTGATTTAGAGTGTTGTGAGGGGTAGCTAAATATTTAATTTGGAAAGTGCGAGTATATTAAGGCATTAGGATGATTGAGGATAATCTACGTGTTGTAACAATTTTCACATAGTATTATTTTCTGATTATCATTTGATAACAACCGTGGTTTTTTCTTCAGTTTTGAAGTTTTTACGCTGATTTTTTTTGTGTTTTTATTGTGTTTCTCTTTTTTTTCTATGCTTTATTTCTTTTCCAACAATTACTTTTTTGATTTTCTATTTGTGTTATGTTATTTTATTTCTATTCAGTGTTTGGTCTTATTTATGTTTTGTTTTATTTATTTTTTGTACCTTATTGACAGTAAAATTTTCATGTTATTTTCTTAAATATATTTTCACATATTTTTTTGTCTAACCGATAAAAGAAGGAGAAATATATTTGATAAAAATGAAATATAATTTATTATAAGTACATTGTTAAAACATTTTTTTTATTGTTCATATTCTTAAACACAATTTTAAGAATTTATATTTAAAATACTCATAAAAAAAGGCATTATCATATATAATTTTATTATTTTAAATTTATTAACATAGTTTTAAAGAGAACTTGTTGATCTGATTCTCCATAATAATCTACCATGTTTTAAAAATATTTAAATTAAAATACAATTGTATTCCCCACCCAGACTAAAATAAAATTGCTACATCATTAAGAAACATATTATTTTAAACATTTTAAATTAAAAAAAAAACATTTTTAATTAAACATTTGAGTTTTGTTTGTGTTCTTCCCCATTTGCAACATGTAAACCAAAGAAATTGAAGTTCTTATTCTTCTCCAGAAAATCATAAAATTTGTATCAATCTTCACGTCCAAGCCTCAACGACCATGTCTCAATATTCAACATCAAGTAATCACAGTGTGTCTCGCTCCAATCACGTCGAATGCAAGTGTGGTCTTCCTTCTTCGTTGATGACGACATGGACGAATTTGAACCCAGGTCGTCGTTTTTATGGTTGTGGGATGTACAAGGTTAGTTTCATGTATATTTCTAGAAAATCCCTAATTTTTCGTTTTCTCCAAAAAAAATCCCTAATTTTTCGTGTATATTTCTAAAATCGGAGATACAAGAGATGTAGTCACTTCGTTTGATTCGATCAAGAAATGTCTCAACGAGCCAAGGAAGTAATATCTTCAATACACCAAAAATTAAACCAAAAAAAGGTTAAGTGAAATGAAGCCATTATCAAAGAGGATCAATTGAAGTTGAAGATCAAGTTCTTGAAGATGATAAACAAGTTTACCATGGAAATAACATTAGCATTGTTAATTGGGTTGGTTGTATCAAATATAATAAATTAGTTGATTCAGTTAGGATGCTTGCATTAGGTTTGTTTGTGTTTGATTGTAATGTATTGTTAATATTGTAATGCAATGTAATTGACTTTGTTAAGTTGAATGAAGAATGTTGTTGTTGAATATTGAGTGCAATGTTAATTTGACATTTAATTGTTGTTGTTGTGAGTTAGATTTTTGTGATAGTTTGTAATGTTAATTGACTTTGTTAATGTTAATTAACATTGTTAAGTTGAATGAAGAATGTTAAGTTGAATGAAGAATGTTAATTAACTAACATTGTTAATTAACATTTTTGTGATAGTATGTGTTAGATTTTTATGATAATGTTGTTGCTGCAATGTTAATTGACTTTGTTAAGTTGTATGTTTTAGATTTTTATGGCAGTTTGTAATGTTATGACACACCTATAAAGCGAGTGTTGGTCATAAACATGTAATACTGACACACCTGTAAACTTGGTCATGACTTTGTTATAACAGGCATGCAATAATGACAAGCTTGTAAATTTGTTCATAAAATATCATGATAAATTGTATTTTGGTCATGATAGGCCTGTAAACTTGTTCATAAACTTGTCCATACATTCCAAAAGTGAGTGTTGTATGATAGACTCAAAATATCATTTCATAAACTTGTATATACATTCCAAAATACTTAACCATTACAACTCAAAATACCATTACAACTTGTTCATGTCATACCAAAACACTTAACCATTACAACTTCAGCATGTCATACCAAAATACATTACAATTACATAATATACCAAAATACATAACATGACTCAATTTATAAGAGACCAAAATACACAAACATAACATAATTGCTAATCTTTAGTAGATGGAGGTCCTTGTGAACAAGATCCAACTTCTTGAGTAGGCTGTGATGCATTATTTGACTTCTTTTTCTTGCCATTTCCCTTTGTTGTTTTTTGCTTCTTGGTCTTATTCCCTCCCTTTGGCATGACCATATATGTTGCTCTCTTTCCTTTACATGTTCTTTTGTTATGTCCCATGGATCCACATTTTGTACAAGTGGTAGATGTTAGGTTCCTTGGCAGAACATGTGGATTCTTTAGTTCATCATTGGTCATGATCCTTAGCTTTTTGGGACGTCCAATCGCCCTTCTCATCACTAATGGATTGACCATCAATGTACCAATGTAGACCATAGTTGAGGATCATTTGTAGGATATATGATATGAGAGTTTTTTTTTTGGAAAGTTGATTTCCTGCACAAAACACCAACACTCAAAAATATATTCAGAAGCTGCATAAAAGACAAAAAAAACATTATTCAAGTTGTTTCTTATTATGCCATATACACGTTAAGGAATTGCTGCAAGGGATTCTAGTTAAGTCTCATTTCCTACAAGCATAAGTACCTTCTTTGATGTTGACACAATAATTTTCTATACCATTTGTTACATCAAAAATAGCCACGTCATCATTGTTGTACCCCAAAATTTTCCCTCTAGTTTCTAACCCTAATTGGCTTGTATTTCTCATTCATATGCATCTCCATTAGGTCATGATATCACTATCATTCGTTTGCAAGAGCTCTTAAGACATGGTATCAAGGCTAGTTCTTTTGATTTGGAGTTCTCTACCCAAAGTGTGTAAGTAAAAGCAAAGAAATCAGAGTCTCGATCCTTCAGGTTCTGGCCAAGTTGTTAGTTCAGGTCTTTAAAGTCAAATCAACGACATCAAAAATCTTTAGCATTTATTTTGCTCAGAGGTCGTATGAGATTACTTGGAATTTAGGTCGGACAAAGGTTATCCAGGGTTCGAGACAAGTCACTTATCGTATTTCAGGCATTATTCAAGGGCACTATCAGAGACTAAGGTTCATATGCAAAGTCGTGCTTAGAACATGTTACAATAGAAAAAATTTCACATTTTTGCACTGATGTAACCGGTTACCCAGATTTTGGTAACTAGTTACCACCCCTCCAAAAGACGCCAAAATTTAAATTTTCAAGCTGGTAACCGGTTACACTTGTGACTTTTTTGCCAAATCTAGTGTGTTTCAAGTGCTGCAATAACTACTACTCTGATTCATTTGCATGCTTCACTCATGTGCTTTGGGAATATTCTAGAACCATGCTACATTGCAGCAAATATCAGTCAACATTTGTTCCCTCACTTCATTTCCAATTAAACTCCACCATACACCCTCATTTTAAACCATGTGATCTTGTGATTTGCAACCAAGTCAACTCATAACTAACTGAGTTATTGATTCGACTCGACGAGTTAAGTCTAACAACTCCATGCCTATACCCAAACCTCACCCCAAGCCAATTTCCAAGCCACATTTTGCTCCATACCTATTTTCTATTTAAATAAACCCATCTCATTCTTGCAAAGGGAGAACCATTATTCACCAAATTTCATAATTTATACTCATCACACTCTCCATTCTCTCTCACTTTGTGCAAAAATCTTCACTCACTCTCTCCATTTTCATCATCTTCCTTAACCTCACCAAAGGTCCACCATTAAAGTTAGCAAGGATTTTCATTTAAGCTTGTTAATATTTGAGCTTAACCTTCATTTCATCACTTCCTCTACATCAAGTTCTGCAGCAACATTAGGTTCTACTTCAGATCTAAGCTTGGAAGTTGATTCTTGAAGTGATTTTCGAAGTAAATCCGTAGTTGATCGGTTCATTGTGTTGTTCTTCAATTTTCTTGTGAGGAGCTGCTTAGTTTTCTGGTTTTTTTGATTATATTCATCATTTTCTGTTTTGCAACAATTACCAAGGCAAATCTCAGGCTTGTAGGTTGGAAATCTATCTAATACTATTTTAGCTTATTTTTCATTTTTCACAATGTAGTCTCTTGTGATCTATGTGTTGTTTGATTCATTGATTTCATATTATTGAATGTATTGGTGTTTGTTTGCTCATAATTGCTGTAATTTTCGTGTTCAATTGCATGCAATAACATTCTGATCTAGTGCAGATAAGTGATTCTGAAATAAGTTATTTCTACTGGTTTTTGTTGTTTCTACATAGTGTAACCGATTACACAATATCGGGCAACCAGTTACCACCCTATTGCGTGCCCTGGGAAGTGATTTTTTTTAATGTAGTAATAGGTTACCCATATTCACGTAACCGATTACACTTGGTTTTTGTGTGTGTGTGTGTGTGTGTGTGTTTCTTGCTTTTTTGCGATTATTTTGGATCCTTCCCACTTTTATCCTCCATTGCTTGATATGGTTGATATTTCTGGATGTTTCTTGAGCTGTTTAGCTTCCCTTCGCAGTGCCAACTTGGATTGGTGATCATTTTGTTTACATGCTTGCTTGTTTAAGTTTTCCTCTAGATCTTCCTTTCCTTTTTGCATCTCTTAAGACAAAAATATTTTTCTTACATCAAAATAAAAAAATACTTAATAAATATGATGCGTATGGTAAGTTACGAGCCATAAGTACATGCAAAAAGATGAGTGTGAGTCTTTCTTTACCTCTCCGTACAGTATTTTGTACGTGAGATGTTTGGATCGTTTGTACAAAATACTTGCTCATATTGTCATAGAATTTAGTGCAATACGCATCTCAAACTGATTTTCAAAACTTTACAAAAACACTTCAACAAATGTAAATTATTTTTTCTTCGGGATTTTCCTTCAACTTTTTCAAAAAGGAGATGTTATTTTCATTCTACCGTAAATACAGGCTAAAGTATAAGTCTCCTCATGTGCGAGCGTGAAAACCTAATTGTTGGAATGCAGACGTTAATATCATCCATAAAAAACTCCAAATAGAGCAAACTTTTTCAATAAGAACTATGGAGTTCTGATTCTCTCTGGGATACGTAGGCACTGAGTTGCGAAACTCGGACGAACTAAATAATCAAAACCTTTTGTTTTTCCCAAATCAATTCATTCATGCATTCCCTTAGCAAGTAATTATTAGATATACACACCTTTTGGTTGCAACAACAAGAGTGAATTCCATTGAGTACAACGGATGCGAGTGGTACTAATTGTAACACTCAGTTTTAGTAATTGTTTATTTAATTAAATTAATTGATTAATTGCGTGATTTTGTGCCTATTTGATTTAATTGAATTATGTCATTTATTTGAATTAATTAATTAATATAATTTATTTTAATTAATTGATTTAAATGAATTATTTGATTTATTGAATTTATATAAATTTTTAGATTTTTATAAATTAATTAGTTTGTTTAATTTATATGAATTAATTGATTTAATTATTTAGTTTGGCTTAATTAGGTGTGTGAATAGCAAGTGAGAATGAGTTGAGTTAAGCCCAATTGTTCAAAGACAATTGTTAGGGTTTAAGAAGAGTAAAAGAAGAATAGAAAGAGAGAAAAGTTGGAAAGGAAGAAGAATAGATGAGAGGAGAACCAAGAGGAGAGAAAGCTCAAGAATTCATCAAGCCAATGTAAGGGTTGGTTTTCACTTATTTATTGAGATTATTTGATAATGATTAGTGGGTAGAAATAAGTTTAGGATAAAACCCCCAAATTTTCTATGAGATTGGAAATTGTTAGGTTTTAATATTAATCTTTAAAATAGGTTAATTTTATTGTGTTTTGAAATTTATATTTGGTATAGTATAGAGACCCACTGAATATTTAGAGTACCCGTTAGAATTGGAGTATATATATTTGTTGAACAGTAGAGCAACAACGTAATATATGATTATTTATACTATCACTTAGAGTAGCACATGGAGTATGACTCTCTTTCCTTTCACACTGTAGCAAAATAAAATTAAGTAATAGGAAATAGAAGCATATTCTAGTTATTAATTTGTTTTAATTGTAACGTATAGAACCGTAATGAATTGTAATTTTCTTAATCCTCATACTATATCAGCGAGAACAAAAACCGTAATGAATTGTAATTTTCTTGATTTGGTGAAATTGTTATGTAATCCAAAAGTTATTTGTAGAAGGAATTATATTAATTATTTTCTTCCATGTAAATGTAAAGTGTTTTAAACATATATTTCGTTATTTACTCTCAACCATAAAAGTCATTCAATTTTAGAAAATTTGACACTCTTTTTTACTGTGATTCAAAAATTAAGTCTCGAGCTGATGATTATGATGGTATCACTAGAGTAAATTCAAAGTAATTTGGTGTTTTTTGTTTCTAAATAGTAATCCAATTCATATGATTTTGTGATCTTTATCTTTTCTACTTTTACCTCTGTTTTTTTCTTCTTCTGTTCATTAGGTCTATCTGCTTTTCTTTTCCTTTTCTTACATAGCACCTTGATATAATTTTTCTCATCCTCTCTTATATTGTAGCACAATATTAGAAAGACATTGGTTATATTGTTAGAACTTTATTAAATATTAAAAATATTTAAAATATTGAATGTTATATTAATTATTGGAACTTCATTAGATATTAGGACTTTATTAAAATATTGAAATATTTATTGAATATTTCTTGCACATTTATTAAATATTGACTATTTATTAAAGGATTGGTTGTTTATTAAATATTGATTATTGAATGGAATATTGAATAGTTATTGAACGTTGATTATTTATTGAATAGTGAATATTAATTAAATATTGAATATTTAATTATTGATGATGAATTAATTATTCTATATTTAATTAGTGATGTGTGTTTTGTAAATTGAGGTTGGATTGTGTTGATACTTGTGTATGTGCAAATGAGTGGTAATTCAAGTGTGATGAATTATTGAAGATATCCATGGATATTTAGATTTGTGTATGATCTTAATTGCATATGGTTGTTGAATTTGCATACGCATCATTTGGGTCAAGAGGCAATGCTTGTTAGTTTCGTGGAAGCTAGTGACTTGTCCCAAACCTAGAGCGGAGTTTGAAAGCTTAGGGAATGGTCTTTTGTGTGTTATTGGTCTAGGGAACGAATTCAGTTTAATGTAAAAACCAAAAAATAATAACAAGTGTTTGGTACCACATACATGAGTTGCATTTGAATCTTGCATCGAGTCTCATTGTGTCTTTAGTTGCAAAATGAGATTATGCGTGATATGTGAAATTAATGAATTGATGAATTATGGATTTGTATGTATATACTTGTGAATAGTATGATTACTTGAATGATATTGTGTTGATGAAACTTTTGAAGTGTGAGAATAATTGTGATTATGTTTGTATGCCTTAAAATATATGTTATCTTATGATT